TTGTAGTAGACGACGACGGAACTGTTTGCCATATACCGATCTTTTTTGAAACATTTCCAGTTGTTGTAGTAGACGACGACGGAACTGTTTGCCATATACCGATCTTTTTTGAAACATTTCCAGTTGTAGTAGACGACGACGGAACTGTTTGCCATATACCGATCTTTTTTGAAACATTTCCAGTTGTTGTAGTAGACGACGACGGAACTGTTTGCCATATACCGATCTTTTTTGAAACATTTCCAGTTGTTGTAGTAGACGACGACGGAACTGTTTGCTATATACCGATCTTTTTTGAAACATTTCCAGTTGTTGTCGTAGACGACGACAGAACTGTTAGAGTCGATGTCAAACTTTTTTTCATAAATATTAATGAAAGATAGTACTAAGGTATTTGAAGTTTATTTTGAAAATTTATTTTTTACCCATTTAAACTGAAATCCACTCTTTTTAAAATAAAATATTAACGATTTCTTATTTTTTTTATTAATTAAAAGTATTTTTTAAAATTTAGAAATGTTTTTTAGAAAAAGTGTAAAGTTAAGTGTATTTTTATTAATTTAGTCAAAATTTTATCATTAATTTTATTATTCTAATTAATTTTAAACTTATTTAATTATTTTTAATAATTAAATTAAATTACTTGGTTGTCAATATTACTTATAATCAAAGTTGAATATGGCAAGCAAAAAACAACCATTGAAAAGGAAAGAAGGAAAAAAAACTGTTTAAATTGTTCGATCTTTGACAAAAAAAGATGAAACAGTTCAAAAGTTTGGCCTCCGGGCATCACTTATCCATTTCAACAACAAATGCTACGTAGTAAATTTAAGAACCACTGATAAGGCAAGGGTTATTTATGCAGGGTATATGACTACCTAAGCATATAAATCGATGCCCCAGAACTTTGCGGGTTGGTTCGTTCGATATTTCCTATCGATTCCATTGATTAGATCCATGTCCTCTTTTGCAAGCTCAAAATCAAATACCTGGAAATTCTCTTCCAATCTCTCGGGTTTCGACGTCTTCGGAATCACGACGGTTTTCCTTTGGATGCCCCACTTGAGGGCAATTTGTGCAGCACTCTTCCCATATTTCTTGGCGAGTCCCTATCACAAAAAAGAGCACCATGTTAAAAATCATGACTCTCCATAATGGTATGATATGTTAGGAATCACGGACCTCCACAATAGTATGATATTGTCCACTTTGAGCATAAGCTCTCATGGCTTTGTTTTGGGTTTCCCCAAAAGGCCTCATACCAATGAAGATAGTATTCCTCACTTATAAACCCATGATCTTCCACAAAATTAACCAACGTGGGACTCACTCCCAATAATCCTCAACAATCCTCCCCTCGAACAAAGTTCACTATAAGCCTCCCCTGAGGCTTATGGAGCTCTCGAATAGCCTCCCCTGAGGCTTATGGAGCTCTCGAATAGCCTCCCCTTAATCGAGGTTCGACTCACTCCCAATAATCCTCAACATGATATTGTCCACTTTGAATATAAGCTCTCATGGCTTTGCTTTGGGCTTCCCCAAATGGTCTCGTACCAATAGAGATGTATTCCTTACTTATAAACCCATGATTATTTCCTAAATTAACCAACGTGAGACTCCCTCCCAACAATCCTCGAACACCCCGGATAAGAATTGTGCGGAAATTTGAATATTGAAACTGCAAAGTATTGATCTCAGTTGTTCATGAAAGAGGGGAAGAGCAGCTCACTTACTTGAAGAATTGGATCTTCCAGACAAGAAACTGTACCAAACCATTCATGGTTAGCAGCAGCACCCCCTAGAGGAGTATGAGCTGTGACACAAATCCCATGTTTCTGGCAAAATTTGACAAGAGATTCTCGTTGAAAGTAAGGATGTGTTTCAATTTGGTTCACAGCAGGCTTCACTTTCGAATACGCTAAACAGTCTCTGGTTAAAAAGATGTCGTAATTGCTGCACGGAATCGTTCCATCACAAAATAATGTTCAAATGCAGCAAAATTCATCAGCAAGAAATCTTAAAGCAAGCAAGCAATATTGAATAATGTTCAAATCCAGCAAAATTCATCATAAATCTTAAAGTAAGCAATATTGGGTCGAGTTGCAGTGTTCTTTTATGAGAATAGTGTTCTTCGAAAAACTACTTATGTTATCAGGATTTCAATCAAAGTTCTTGATAATGAAGCAAAGAATCTTATTGTTTAGTTCTGATATTCAAATTGCCTCAGATACAAGTAGAATATACCTTTGAAAATCAATATTTACTTGATAAATGTTTCTAAACTTGGTAAGTTACCAAAATGAAAATAATCGACACTATAAAAGTTCCAAAATAAAGTAAATTGAATTTAAATTAAGAAAAAAACAGTGCACGAAAGCGTGTATAATGCGACGAGAAAGAAAAAATGCATGTATATTGTTCAGACGTATCAACTTTAAGGTTTGTGTCTACTTAATCTCTGAATTTTCTAATTTTTTTAAAATCCACCGACCTACTATACACGACATTGAAAGCTTAAGGTTCCATTAGACAAAATTCAAATCTATGTCTAATAGATCAAATCATTTGTTTTCAAATTTTTCGTAGATTTATTAGACACAAAATTGGAAGTTTAGTAACCTTCTAGACACAATAATGGAAGTTTCTGGACCAACCCGCTAGACACAATAATGGAAGTTTCTGGACCAACCCGAAATTTCACGGACTAAATTGTAATTAGACCAACATGTAATCAAACGTTAGTGAGAGTTACAATACCTGATGCCAATGCTGCGAACTAAACCATTGGAAACAAGATCTTCCATGGCATGCCAAGTGGTCTCTAAGGATATGGTCGTATCAATGTCCAAAACCCCATCTTCAGCCAATTCACTGCTAGTATTGCCGACTCCTTCATAAATTCGAAATTAAGGGGGAAAGGTAAAGAAACAGAAAAGGAAAATGAGAAATATTTGATGAACAGCCATGAAAGGGGCGATACGGTACCGGTATGCTTTACGGCAACCGGGAAGTGCACCAGGTACAGATCCAAGTAGTCTAGTTGAAGCTTCTTTAAGCTGTCCTTGCAAGCCCCAAGAACATGTCCATGGTCTGAATTCCAGAGCTGCCATTGCCAAAACCCAACAACAGTGATTTAAACTTGACTTTCAGCAGCAGTTTTGAAGTGTTTTTAAAATTTTCAATTGGCTAAAAGCATTTATGATCCTTCAAAATCATGCCAAACTCATCCTTAGGCTCCTAACTGTTTGAACTTCAAGCAAGAAGGATTCAAAAAATGTAGACAATAAGAATTCTGAATCAAACTCACCTTTGTGGTGATGAAGAGTTCTTCCCTCTTGACAAGTCCACTCTTAAAAGCTTCTGCTAGAGCCTCGCCAACTTCAGCTTCATTCTTGTAATCAGCTGCAAGAAAACAACATCCATTACAAAACTAAGCCACTCAAGTTTTCCGCAGACAAGAGATTAATGCTTTAAAGCGGTTGCATGTTTGATATCAATTCTGTGATTAATTACTTTTGTTTTAGAAAAGTAAAACAAACATTAATTCCTAAATTTAAACCTTACCAAATCCTTTAACTAAACGATTGAACTTGAAGTTTGAATATGTAAAGATTAGAAAAAAGCTGCATAATCCACTGGATTTTCAAGGTCTTCTGATATCAATAATGGACACAAATCATGGTTAATTGTTTGAAAAGTACTCCTAGATCAGAGCTCTAGGAGAAGGCATCAAACATTTTCATACACAATCATGCATGCTATTATTTCTACACATCAAATTCAAGAAAATCGATGAAAATCCGATTAAAAAAAAATTGCGAGATCTTCCATGATTTCGTCCCGATTTCTAGGTTCTACTCAAGGAAAATCAAAACAAGTCCAGTCGAGGACAAAATCATAATGTGAACAGAATAGAGAGGAAATAGAAGCAAGGGAAACTGAAAAATGATGAACAAATCGAAAAAAGGACGGTACCGGCGCAGTCGAAATGGCGATAACCAATCTTAATAGCGTTGATAATCAGATCTCTGACTAGGTGCTTCTCCATGCGCCAAACTCCCAGCCCCATCACCGGCATCTGGAAGCCATTGTTGAGAGTTATCGCCATTTTTGATCGGAGCTTCTCAATCAATTCAACTAGCTCTGCTTACACAGCTGCTAAGCTTTTGCTTGTGAGTTTGTGATTTTAAGTTCCTCGTTTTGAGATTTTTTTTCTTTTTTTTTATTTATTATTTTCTTGTTTCTGCCGCCGACTTCCTTTATCCACACCAAACGACGTCGTGTGAGAAGCCGGTGTAATCATTGATCGATAGTCCTATTAAACTGTTTTTTTTTTTTTTTTTTTTTTTTTTTTTTTTTTTTTTTTTTTTTTTCTCTTAATTTTAACGTTAACGTTAAAATAATAATTACATAAAAAAAAAGATAAAAAATAAGACTATCAAACGTTGAAATTTTCATATTTCTATTTAATTTAGTGAAAAAATAATAATTTAAATGTTATTATAGGTGTTTTATCTTTTTATTTTTAAAAATTTAGATTATAAATATTACTCTCGTTTTCTTTTATCAGATATTGTTATCAAAATTAATATTAAATTTATCAAAAAAATTATATTCTTTTTTGTTAGTAAAATTTGGTTAAGAATTCAAAAGGTTAATTTAATAGAAATAAAAAAGAATTTTGGAAAAATGTGAAAAAAAAAATACTGACTTAAAAATAAAAAAAAAAGAAAATAATTATTAAATTGTATCCTGATTTTTTAAAATTAATTTATAAAAAAAATGTAACAAAAATGGATAATTTACCTTTATTATTGTAAATTGAAGTATAAAAACAAAATTGTTATTTTTAAAATTATATAATTTATATATATATATTTAAAATTTGATTATTTAAAACGTATTCAATTTTTATTAGGCTAAAAACATATTACATTAATAATTTTTTTTATTAATGTAACCCACACAAATCTGGTTTGAATCAATTTTTTTTAAACAATTCAGAATCAGAAAGAAATAAGTTTTGTGAAACATTGTAAAGATGTATTTTCTCATTTATATGAATAAATTATTCTAATTAGTAAGAGCTCAACGGGACATGCCGTTTCTGATTCGAGGGGATCCTGTTGAGTTCTTACGCTTTCATGTCTATAACTCAATTCATCTGATTATTACAAAGATGAACCTAATCCAGAATATGAACCATAAAAGAAAATACCGACTAAACCGATCACAGGAATATCATTTACGGTACCTATTATTGAGAGAGGAATCCTTCCAGTAGTCTTGGCCATTTCATCAAGTGGTAGTGGAGACACATCAATTTTTTTAAGAAATGTTTTCTTAAATTTAAAATGAAAAAAAAAATCCGTAATAATCCGATACTCACAAATTTTTCGGGCAAGTTTATGTCCGGTATAAATCCTCTCATACGTTCCCTACTCACAAAACTAGCGATAAAATTGAAGATGAATGTAAAAAATATGGGTGTTTGTATGAGTCGATGACCTCAACAACCCGACTATTCATTCCAAACTTGTGTAAAAAAAAAATAGTGTTCACAGCTCAAGTTAACCAAGCGTAACAATCATAACCTCTTCGGTGGCGTTACCGTCGTTTTGAGTGCTTCAAATACATAGTCTCCATAGCTTCGTCATGACGGCTGCCGTCCCTAGACCGTCCTGTGCCGATACCCTCCGAGTAGTAAAATACGAGCCTGAGCTAATGGTCTAGACTCTCAAACTATAGTAAAGACTAACACCATTTTTATAAAATTTTTCATTTATTTTCATGAAAATAAATGCGATAATTTCAAGAAATTAGATTTTATAATAAAATTTTCTCATGTTTTTTAAATATATACTTATTTTAATAATTTATATTACGTTAAGAATAAGAAATAAAATTGAGATCGAATTTATTAATAAGCTCAACGAGAATACAAGCTAGCCGCTAATACGTACGAATAAAAAAATATAAACTAATTAAATATTAAAAATAAAATAAAATATACTATCAATCAAATCATAAAATAAATATATATTAAAATATAATATCTAAGATATATTCATAAATAATATATTATTTAAATATTATATCTCAACCTATTAAAAAAATTTAAAGTAATAAATCTAATCATATTTTATTAGAAAAAATATAATATAACTTACCCTCACATTAATTATTATCTAATTTATAATAAAAAAATCGTAATAAAATTAAGTGATAAAAATGATAAAATAATGAAGATAAGGATTATAATTTGAGGTATAGCGTTATTTTTTAATTAAAAATAAAAATTTATATTATTTTAAACAAATTTATAACCATTACAAATAAATTTTTGATAAATTTTTTTTATCTTTATTAATAATCTTTGATTTAATTTCTATTTTTCAAATAAATTTTGATAATGATTTTATTTTTTATTTTTATTAATAATTTTGATTTAATTTTCCTGATATTATTTGGAGTCAGGGCCCAAACTTATATATATGGCGTGATCTTTACGAAATCGATCTGCTTTTACCGGGTATTCAAATCGGACGCTCACAAGTGAAACCGATCAACTATCTACTCCGCATTGTTCTTCCTCCCGACATCGATTATTCATCTGCGACTCGTTCTCGTCTTCGGTACGACTCTACATTCGCATTATAGCTTGTGTTTTTTCGATTTTAATTCTATATTGGTTGATCGTCTTGAGATGATGCTCTGGTGCTTGTTGTTTGCTTGCTGAGAAAGCTGAGTGTCTTGAACTTTGAAGTTTCATTATCTTTGCGTTTTTATCCTTAGAATATGCGCATTCGTTTATGAGTAAGCTTATTTGCTGTTATGTTGATCGGAAGTTGTTGGTTACCTGCGGCGGAAGAAAGATGAACATAGCAACTTATGGAGTATTCGGTCTGATGTTTGGTTTATTATTGATTGATTATCGTTGGTGCTAGTTCTGATTTGTTTTTTTTATTTTTATTTTTTCATATTACAGTTTAGTCTTATTGTGGTTTTAATGTTTGATATTGAGGCGGAATGAAAGTGAGGATGCTTTTTTTTTCTGTCTTTCTTTTCCCTGCTGTTTTGACATGAATCAGTTTGATGCTCCTGGCGTCCTTAGTCACGCTGTTTAAGTTATCCTGTGCATTAGCTATTTTTAATTGATTTTGAGGTTTATGATACTGTATTTCTCAAACATTCGGTTTTCTTGCGTTTACAACATGCAGAAGTTCTTCACTGCTCGATTGAGAGCCTTTACGAGGTTGATTATCCGTCGAGGAACTCTACACAGGCTCTACAACATGGTATGCATGCTTTTTTCAGCTCGTTAAAATGAGAACCTCTGATGTTTTGTGAAACTGCTCTGGATTCTTACGTTACTTGCGTGATTAGAAAATGAAGAAAAGTTACATAGAATGTGTTTTAGACGTTTATGATGCGGAATTGAATTTCATTGACCTACAGAAGGATCTCTTTTCCCTCAATTTAATAAACTACTGCTGCTTTTTGATACATATGTTACTGTTTTATGTTAGTCCTTGACCTGGAGACACCGTGCTTCTTCTGGCTATGGAACACTAAACTTGTTACAGAAATATTTGCTGAGGATTTATCCTAGTGTGGCATATTTATTTCTGCTGCCTAAACCCTTCTAACTAATATGATAAATGTTAGCATGAGAACTCCTTTTTTTTTGAAGGAACACAAATATTTTTATACATCTCACTTGCTAGAAGCAGTGTGCCACTTATATGATATATGATAGCTAGATTTAAGATCATACTGTTTTGAATGTTTCCAATCAATCCAAACCTTGAGGAAGGATTTGAATTGTGTTGAAGTTTACTCTAGCCATGTCCATGTTACAATTTCTGCTATACACTGGCCTCCAATTCCCTGTTTTAGGAGGGTTCTTATTGTGAAGAATTGTTTACGTTTTCTGTTAAAAAATAGATTGGTTAGCTTTTGCAACCATTACAACTCATGTATCTCTATGTTTCTGCGTCTGCAGTATATTGATGGGTATGGATATCGTGGAACATCATTTGAGCAAAGATATCAATGCTTCTCTGCATCATTTATTGATAAGGTTTGATTATCTTCTACATCTATTAACCATTTTTAGAAACGTGCTCAATTCTTGTTTAGCGTTTGGGGTATTCCTTGGCCTCATTGCATTTTCATTCTTTTACATACATATCAAGGGCCATCTTCTTCATGATAGCCGATTAAATGTAGGCAGGAGTTGCAATTTGGTCATGTCTTTGTTTGAAGTTTGTGCTTGGAACAAGCATTGGTCATGCATTATTATTTTTTATAAGCATGAAGTTTCATGTAATATCAAGCAAAGCTACTGCTGCGCATGTTTCCAATTTCTAGGCATATACAGTAGAAAGTAAATATATATCGGAATGTTCTCTTCATCATAAAGAACTTTAGAGTATCTATAATTGCAAGTATATAAGTGAATTATTTGTTATTCCCAAAATAGATAGCTTATTCTAATCCCAGTTAATCTTTTCCTGCAGCCACACGTTGAAACTGGAGACAGAAGTAAGCTGTTCTATCTTTACCCTTTTTATGGTTTAGGTTTCATTTCCTTTCTTAACGTTTTTTTAATTTCCTTTTCTCAAGTTTCTAATGTTGTTTATTTTAATTATTTTTTCAGTTATAATGCCTCCATCAGCCCTTGATCGCCTTGGTTTGTTGCCATATTCTTAGAAGTCATTTTTGTTCTCCTATTTTTTCTGTCGTGCTTTTCATCATAGGTGACTGATTTTAAACACAACCCCCTGCAGCATCTTTACAAATTGATTATCCAATGTTATTTGAGGTTCGAAATGATGCTCTTGAGCGAGTCTCTCATTGTGGGGTTTTGGAGTTTGTTGCAGAAGAAGGCATGATTTACATGCCTTATTGGGTAGGGTTCCCTATTTCTCTTGTGTGATGTGTCCCAGGTGTTATTGGCTCTGTCTTATGTCCTATCGTATAATTTTTCCGCTTCTGTTCTAATTGTTTCCCCTTCAGATGATGGAGAACATGCTTTTGCAAGAAGGAGACTTGGTGCATGTGAAGAATGTCACTCTTCCAAAGGGAACTTATGTTAAATTACAACCTCACACAAAGGACTTTCTGGATATCTCCAATCCAAAAGCAATGTAAGATATTTTTTCAAGTTTTAGCTGGTGAAACATGTGTCTAGTGTTCTCTACTTCTTTGTATTTCTAGCTTGTGTCACAGAAATGAGTTCTAAAGTTGAAATCCTCAGTCATTTTCTTATTAATTTGTAGATTAGCTCTTTAAACTCTAATAAATTAGCCGCTACCACCTATATTATAACCTTAAGCCCAATAAGTACACAAAATGCTCGAACATCAAACAACCCACCATGGATTGATGTTGACCCAATGGTAAAAATAGGCAGCTCTAATCAAATGTCTTTGAAGCTATGGGTTCAAAGCTCAGTAGTCACTTAGAATGTCTTTGAAGCTATGGGTCCAAATCTCTCTCTCTCCTTTTCTTCTTGTCATTGTCTTTTCATACATCACATGTGATTTCACCATCTCTAATGGTTGGTGTGATGAAGTTCGTTTCACACAACAGTTTATTTATTTATTTATGCCATACAGCTTAGAGACAACACTTAGGAATTTCTCCTGCCTCACCACCGGAGACAGTATTATGGTGGCATATAACAACAAGAAATATTACATTGACATAGTCGAAACAAGGCCATCCAATGCAATAAGTATCATTGAGACAGATTGTGAGGTGGATTTTGCACCTCCCCTGGATTACAAGGAACCGGAGAAGCCTGTTGCACCAACCAAGGGAAAGGAGCAAGGTACACCATCTTCTACTCTCTTTTTCTCCAATTCTTACTGCAAATTTGGTTTTCTATTTTACTTTTGAAATAGATGTTTCTCTAAATCAGTCTATTTGCTTGAGGCATTGAAAATCAGAAGACCACCGTTTACTAATTCTAGATTATATGTAATGAACTCTCTTGCAGTTGCAGAGGCGATGGAACCAGAAGCTGAACCCAAATTTGTCGCTTTCACGGGAACAGGCAGACGTTTGGATGGTAAATCTTCAAATTACCAGCCTCAGCCAATTTCATCGGCGGCTAGGCCATCTGATGTGAAGCAATCGGGCGGTAGTAGCAGCAGCAGCAGATTTGGCCATTCACAACAGTCTGCTGGGTCTAGCTCATTGAACGGAACTCGTCGGTCTCATGGAAAGTTGGTATTTGGACAGAATGCTCATCGAAATCCTAAAGAAAATCCAAAGGTACCCTCCACTTTTCACAAATCATCCTCTAATTTTAACTCAATTTATAAGTTTAGTCTTGAATTTTTAGTGTCTAATAGGTCACTATTATGATGTCTAATACATATATAAACCTTTCAAATGACTAATGTTTTACTTATGTCAATTTTGTCCGTTCAACTTTAAAAATGTTTTATTGGTTCTTGGATCTTTTATTTTGTGTTTTAATATGTTTATGATATATTCAATTTTTTTTTAAAAAAAATAAATTAATCTATTAGATATGAATTTAAATTTTGTCTTATAGAACTTAGAACTTTAGAATTATGTCTCTATTAGACTAAAAAATAACGATTTTGTTATAATAATGAGTTAGACATAAAATTGAAAATTTAAGAACTCGTTAACACTTCCAAGAAATATATTAGATACAACTTTAGAAGTTTAATAACTAAAAATGTGATATAACCTTTAAATTATTGCATTTGCCGGTTAATTCATCAACTTATTTGTTGTTTAACTTTCTTTTGCCACTTAATTTATTTCCAGAAAACCAGCCTATTATTATTATTATTATTTCTTGTGATTATGTAGGAGGCCTCGAAAGAGAGTGAACAAGAGCAGCCTGGAAAGGAAGAGCCCAAATTTCAGGCCTTCTCTGGAAAAAGGTACTCACTGAGAGGCTGATTTGATTGTGTCTAATATCCATGCCTATAAATATATTTAATTTAGCTCTAAGTTGCTGGAATACACATTTACTCAGCCGTTTCATAGTCAACAGAAGCTGCTAATGTAGTTAAAAGTCGTGCCTCAGTTATGCCCATAACTTTATGACCAAATATTTGATCTCCTTCTCCACTACAATTTTATTTGAGAAGGAAAACCAAAGCCAATAAACAAAATACCAAACTACATTATAATTAAAGTCATAACAAAAAAGGAAAGAATTTAATAAGAATGGAAGACACACTTAGGAGAGAATGGCCTTGAGTGCCTCTTTCACAGTCGGGTACTTGAATGTAAAACCCAGTTCCTTGGCTCTCGTAGGAACCACCCGTTGCCCTTCCAAAACCTGTAGCAAAAGCACAGCTCAACTTAAAATACGAGTTTGGCTAACCTATTATTTTGGCCTCTCTATACACAATCTTTACTTACCATTAATCTTAAATTCAGTCCTTCCAATTAATTTTTATAAAAATTAAAATAATTTAAATAACAGAAAGAACAGGATGCTACAAGAGGCTTTTTTATTTTAAAAAAAAATCAATCATAAACTATTTTTTTTAAGATATATTGACAAAAAAAAAAAAAAAAAAAAAAAGGAGTTTTTAAAATTATTTAGTAGGCTAACTCATTTTATTTTCATTATTAATTGTGTGTTAAATAATTTAGGCTTATTATTATTTATTGTTTTCAAAATTTATGAATTTGTTATGCACACAAGAGGGGCCTGTGCTTTGTTCTGACATTTTTTAAACGTTATGTTCTCAGATACAAACTTTCTAATTGAAGAAAATAAACAATTTGAAAGCTTAGAGAGGCTTGAGGGGAGCATATGGCATAAAAAGGGAGATTTGTATTAATTAAAGAAAGGAAGTATTAGGGATATTATTAGGAATCTCACCACAGAAGCTCCTTCCCCAAGGACGGCTTTGAGAGCAAAGTCAGGTACAGGAAGCCATGAAGGTCTGCCCATCGCAGCTCCCAATCGTTCGCATAATTCAGCCAGCTTAACCGGGTTCGGCGCCGTTCCATTAATAACTCCTGAGGATTGTTTGTAAGAGACACCAGAGTTTAGATTCTGTTCGATTATGATTGATTTCTCTCTTTTTTGTTTAGATTTTCCTTTTTAGTTTTAATTTTTTTTATTTTATTTCTTTGAAATTGGACTATAAATCATATATTTATTTAGAATCTTTTTTTTTTTTTTTTGAAAAAAAGAAACACAATTATCAAATATACTTAAAGACCAAATAATTGTCCATTTTCCATTAGTAATTGTATTTTTCCATTTTGAGTAAACGTTCTAAAAAAATATATTATTAGAAAAGCTTTTTTTAATAATTATTTTGAACTTATAAAATGTATAATTAGTATTAGAATAATGAAAGATAAAATAATGGATAATTAGAATTAATATTTGAAATTAGTTTTTAGTTATTATTTTAGTTATGTTTTACGCTGCAACTGGGTAGAATGAAAATATTACCGTTATAAGATGGATTGGTCAGAGCTTCATATATTAAGTTCACAATGTCATCCAAGTGAATCCAGGAAAACCTGCAAAACCCATTTTGATATTAAATTAAACTGGGAATCAAAATAAAATAACAATCAAAATAAAATAACAATCTTTTCTGGAAAAAGTAGTAAGCTAACTGTCACAAACGAACAACCTAAAACATGGGCCAAAATGTCTCCCATTTTTTTTTTCCGAAAGGTTGTTGAGAGGTTTGGGAATTTAGGACTTAAAGTTTTAAGGTAAATCTATAATTTTTTTTAAATAATATATTATAAATGTTTGTCCATAAATGATTCTTTAAATATCGCGTATTAGTTTGAAGAATTTTGTGTTAACTGGTTTTTTATGGATCATGATTTTGAGTGAAAGAATTTTGGTAGGCAAAACTCAATTTTTTAATAATAAAATGTTAGGAATCAGACTCTCCACATAATCGTATGATCCATTTTAAGCCTAAACTCTCCTGGCATGTGATCCATTTTAAGCCTAAACTCTCCTGGCTTTGCTTTAAAACTCTCTTGACTTTGCTGGCTTTGCTTTAAACTCTCCTGAGTTTGCTTCAAAACTCTTCTGGCTTTGCTTTAAAACTCTCCTTTGCGGTTTTGCTTTAGACTACCCAAATGGAGATAGTATTCCCCAAACCCATGATTTTCTACTAAATTAACCGAGCTGGACTCATTCCCAATAATCCTCGACATAAAAGTGAATTAATTTCTAAGTTTTTCGAAAAATCACACCAATCTTCATGGAGGTAAAAAAAGTAAATTACTAATATTTTGTCAATTACCCAAGTCAGAGTGGTAAAAAAAAAGTCTCTCATTTCAACTCATCATATAATTGAGGCATAAAAAGAGAGAGTATTTACCATTGTCGTCCTGACCCCAAAGGGCCTCCAGCAAACAGATTGAAGAGGGGTATCATTTTGGCTGCAAAGGCACAAAGATGGAACATTCAATACAAAACTAATCATCGATTAAAAAAAATTAAGATTAAAAAGGAAAAAAAAAAGTACATGGACTGAAATATTCGACAAAAGGTAAAAGCATATGGACCAATATCTATATATTGAATGATCAGACTTGTCCATTATAATTCGATCTATGGATCAGATAACTTTTTTGCTGATAGAAACAACGATCAAAGATCGGATTGATAGAACAAACACCATACTAAAACAAATTGAAAAAAATTAGAAAAGACACGAAAAACGCGATTCTAAAGCCAGAACTAAATATTAGTCCTAACAAAATAAGTGATATATTAGAATTTTCGAAAAATCTTTTAAAGATATTAAAAAAAAGAAATGTACGAATGTACGATTAATTCGTAGATCGCATCATTTTCTAAAATTTTTTTGTTGAAAACATATATAGATAATAAAATAGATTAAAATTGAACCAAATAATTAAGAATGAATAAGAAGATCATGAGGTTAAACTCCCATACCTAAAGCACCACCTTCTTTACCAAGAACAACACCTATACGAATAAGAGCCACTCTGACGTTCTTGTTTGCTCCCAGGGCTGTTGCTTCCCATTCCCTACAAACCTGGAAAATCAGAATCATCAAACAACAGCTTCACACTAGACAATCATTGAGTGAATTAGAGGAGGATTAAGAGTTTGTTTAGGACGACTTTTTTAAGTGCAAAGAAGTGTTTTCAGATATTTAGGAAGTCGTTTCAAACAATCTTAAGTTTTACTAACTCTATCGCGATTTAATTATTTTCCTCTTCGATTTCGAAGAAAAAACTTTAAAAAATCCAACAATTCCTCTTCAATTAGCTCAATCTAACAACTTTTCTCACCTCGGCCAAGTAGTCATTACCGGATGGACTTCGTTCGTCAAATATTGCTGTTTCACTAGTACCTGAGAGACAGAATAGTTCAAGTATAATTTACATTATGAATTTGAGCTTCATAATTCCCACGTTGAAACTGAGAAAACAGGCAGCCCTATCAGGAAAAGGATGAAAAAGCAAAATTCACGACAGATCGATTGAACTATACTCAAGCGTTGATCATTTTTTCTTTGAATATTCCTATATTTCTAAGCTAATCTAGATATTGGCATATGTTCTTTCGGATATATAACACATACCATAGTAACCAACAGCTGTTGCGCTAACCAAAACTGTCGGGCGAGCTACGTCGGGGGCATCGTTAATTAAGCTCACAACCTTCACATTAGTTAGGTATTAAATATTGGTATATATCAGATTTGGCTTCTGTAAGCCAGAAAGGGAATAAGTCTCTTAAACTGTTTGCAAAACTCTATAGTTAGCTGGACAAGTTTTTACCTTTGAGGTGACTCTGATCCTGCTTTGCTTGATCTCTTTCTTGATCTATATAACAACGGATACAGAGTATATAATATTAATCTCTGAAAAATAAGGCCTCAGATTGTAAAATTGAAACAAGTAGAGTAAGAGATAATAATAGTTGTTTCATCATACTGCCACAAACAGTTGGATGAACTGATCTAAAGCATAGCTTGAATCAATTTCTACCGTCAGTTAAAATTTCACACTAGCTCAATAAGATCAAGTCCAATAAGAATCTTATGAGCCAATTGTGTATATATTTTAGGAAAACGATTTAGGTATTTTAGCAATAAATTGTCTAGCCTCTTCACTCTACCAATGTTTTCATCCTCAAGAAATATAAAACTAGTCATTTCTATAGAGTGTCATGTAATCTCTTTTCTATGGGTCTTAATAAAGAGTGCGAGTATTTATCTAAAACTGATGTGTCTCCAGTTATGGACATATCTAGTGCCACCTTAAAATATTCCAAATGTTAAGCTCCATTCCAAGATTGATTATAAGTACTATTCGAGTAGAGTAATTAGTACCTATTCGAACAGCTTATTATAGCTTGTTGTACAGAAAATGAAGCCATAAACCACGTTATAGGGGGTCAAAATCCATTGGAAATATGTACTAACCTCAGGAGACCACCTGGTACTTATAGGCAACCCAGCCAAGTTAACAACGCCATCAGAACCTTGGATGCAGTCTTTCCACCCTGGCTCCTCTGCGATCACAATTCCTGGAAACTCCCTAGCTACAAGTTATGGGATGTAGTTCAAAAGTTAGACAGAAGACAAGTCAAAAGGTGCAGTAAAAAATGAAAGACTATTGACATGTGTTACCTTCTTACCCGGAAAAATCAACTCGGCTTTAGATTTAGAGCGTGTCAAAACTCGAATGTTGTGGTTATCTATATCCAGCAACACAACAAAGAATTCTCAATCAGTTGTTCATCCACTGTATTTGTGAGAAGTAGATTGGAGTAAAAGGTTAAAGATATGATCTTAAGAAAGCAATGTTTTGTGAAATTTTTTGGTAAGCTTTTATGTCTTTGGATTGTCCAGATGTCTAGGTTGATGTATTGAATATAACCTGTATGTAGCCTTTGCACAAGTCTTCGACCGATAAAGCCTGTAGCTCCAGTTATTGATACAGTGAGCTGATTTTTCTGCAACGAAGTTCCTTTTAATCAAGAAATCGAGCTGAGAAAAATGAAAGAGCTCAAAAGGGCTTACAAAAACTTCTTACAAAGAACCTAACCAACCACAGATCTAACAAGACAGGAAAAAGAAAAAGAAAGCAGCTAGCATGCAAATTGCCAATGGACAAGACCATATTCACAAAAGGGTGGATGAAACAAAACCTCCCCCAACATGAGAGAACGATCTCTATAACGAGCTAAACGAACACCAAAAGTCTCCAAAAAACAGTCCCATGATGGAAGTGCGAACTGGGATTTCCGCATGATGTGATCCAGATTTTCAGACGCCTTGCTACTATGTAAGCACCAGTGTGGCCTCAACAGGAAGGAAGGGTGTTTTTTAATGCAACCCATTGTGTTGACTCTCCCATGTAAGGCTTGCCTAGTAAAGAATTCGACGTTCTTGAGAAGGTGAACCTTCCTCGAGTTCCTAGAAGCGCGAGGGCTACTCAAAATGAGGAAAAATGAACAGTAAGGGAGCCCCTTGGAGGGATTAGGGGACCAAAAAATGACATTCCTACTACTCGAGTGAAGATGGACGTTTCCCAATGAAGAAAGAAGAGAAGACATGTCAAATGATTCCCTATCTGAAAGTGGATAGCCGAAACCAAAATGAAGAGAGTAAGCCATTGGATTGCCACCCAGGGAGATAGCTAACCGAGAATTCTTGAACGTATCAAGCTCACAGAGCTCACAGATCGAGGATCATAAGACCCTGTGTCAAAGCCTCCGACTCCAATGGGAAATGGCAGAAACATTTAGCCAGCAAAGCCTCACTATGGAGTCACAAATTAACTATGCCAAGCCCCCCAACGTCAACCTTGAAGTATCAATGATTTTGAAAGATCAATAACAATAATATGACTTCACAGCTACAGAAATGTCGGGAGTCAATTATCAAACATAGGAAACGCAGTCAAGAACAAACTGACTTTAAATTAACACACATTACAATTCTCAATTCCAAGACTGAAATACAAAAAACAGCTATCGGCCGTGTAAACGTAAAACATTGAAATTCAAGTACATACCATCTCTGTTGCATCAATGGCGCAGAAAGCCCTGAACCTCTTGCCACATATCTTCAAGAAAAAAGAGCATTTAAACGAAGAAAAACAGAGAGAGGGGCCTTTCATCAATCATTCACTCAATCAATGCCCCCGAAAAGCTAATAAATTGAGATTATTACAACCGAACACTTACTGCCACATGTTGAGGGATGCGAATAGAATGGGAGACAGTACGAGTCCATGAGAAGGAAATGGCGCCAGGGGTCTTCATTTAGGAAATAATGGCGGGTGGGCTCGGAGCTCTGTCGGCAGCACAGTAAGAAGGAAAGACGGGAAAATGAGGAGATCTAAATTAGGATAGGACGGGTTTGATGGTCCGGGCGGCAGGAAGCCATTTCCATCACAAAATTAAGCTCGGTGAGGCTGATTGAAACAAATGGTCCTCCGAGGAAGCTCAACTGGAGTGGACGGGAATGAAAGATGATTAATTGAGAGAGAATCGGTAATGGGTCAGAGAAAAAAAATACTTGAGCGAGGTTCAACTTAGGAGTATTATTTTTACCTAATTGATAATCCAAATTAACAAAATGTATGAGAATTATTGAACATACAAACTGTCACAGCCCAAAGTTTAAATATCGAAATCAAGGGTCTAGACCTATGTAATGAAATAGCAATAGAGAAGACGAGATTAAAAAGTTTAGTAATCATGTAAAAGGTTTGAAATTTGGATTACCAAAAGCCCTCTAGAGGTTTTCACTTGCAATCCCTATGCGCGCGGCTTCCCGAGCAGGCGCGGGTCAGGGGCGCCGGGTCGGGCCGGCCGGATCTGCGTGCCTGACGCGTGTCCGCTGCCAGGTGAGGACGCGCCTCACCAGTCGATGATCGACACGTGTCGATCATCGGTTTCGCCGCGCTCCTCCACATGCCGGCCGACGCGTGGCGGCTCTCCACCCTCTCTCCTACGTTTTTTCCATTTTCTAGGCCTCTTTCACGTTTTGATCTATTTTCTTTGATTTTTTTATCTTTCAATCTGTAATCCGATTCAACAAATTTTCTTCACGAATATTATAGATGTCATGTTCTACTCCTTCGAAACAATTTTCTTATATTTTTCTGATAATCACAGATCTTAATATTTGAGTTCGAATTCGGAGAAAAACACGAGTTCTTACCGAAAATCACGTTTTCTTGAAATTCCGATTCGAACATCAATCTTGGCCGCCTTCACTCCAGAACTTAACTAGATAACGCTGTTGAGGGTAAGAGTCCAAGGATCAACACAAAACGTCGCTAACACACAAAAATCTTAATAACTTCTCGATCTACACACTCGTGGACTAACCTGAAGTTTTTGGACGTTTTGACGAAATAGGAAGGTGCGATTCATGAGAGCACCTTGCCTCGAACTATTAACGGTTTAGGTTGAGGACTCGAATCTCCGGCGTCAGTTCTGTTTCAATCTCCTCCTCCTTCCTCAAAAACCCTAATCTTCTTTCCCCCTCCTTTCTTCTCTTTCTTGATTCAACCAAACAGACCCTTGATTCAACAAAACAGACCCCTCCAAGTAACAAGGGCAAAATGAATAGTTTGCCACTATTGTGGCCTAGTTTTTTTTTTTTTTTTTTTTTTTAACTCAGGCGCTACACAAATAAATATCTCCATATATTCAAAAGAATTAGCAAAGTTTTAGACTAAGCTACCAATTACAAAAAGGATGAAAAATCCCTATTCCTTTATTTTGTGATTCTTGTGTATCATGTAGAGACTAATTCCTTTCGAAACATCAAACTATTTCAAAATTATCTTTTAAATAGTTGAGGTTTAAAATCCATTTCACTGTAGGTCCTAATCAACTCGTCCATTCATGAAGCTACTTAAATCTTTTTGAGGTGAATGATGGAATATATGGCTTACCTAATTTCATCATTATTATTTTATCTATTTCTCACCTCGTTGTTTGTTGCATTATGCCGTAAAAAATATTTTTGATCTTCAACCGAAAATAATATTTCATTCTCTCAAATTTAGTTGGAAGTCATTTAATCCCCAATTTCAAATTTGTAAAAATGTAATTTCAAAAGTTTTAATGAGTAATAATTTAGTTTTTCTGGGAACAAATTTAATTACCTATTTTTTTCAAAAAAAACTTAATAGTATTTTCATAATATAATAGAATAAATTATTTCAAATTTTAGAAGTAAATAAACTAAATCCTTAACCACTAAAACTTCATACGTTAAACTATTTATTTTATAAAAATTGAAACTAAGACTGTTTTTAACCATTGAAGTTTTATAATGAACTATGGTAATTGATTAGTATGAAAAACAAACAAGAAATCTAATCCATAACATCGCTATTAAGCTTGATCATCATAACAACAGGTGGCCTCATCGGCCAATTGAAGTTTTCTTATTCGAAAAACCGATCCTAGAATACGGAAACATCTTATTGACAATTTCTTAGAGCAAACAAAGCAAAAAATGAGACGAACTTGTTACCTTCACCGTCTTTTGTACTACGGAAGTTTCCAATCGAAGAAACTCAAGAGAGATAAATCCAAGCTCTTCGAAGAAACCTCTGTACATCTTCGTCCAACACTATTTTTCATTTCATCCTAAAAGATAGATACAAGAACAGATCAATAAGAGCATAAGTTTGAGAGAGAGAAAACAAAAACTACGATTGAGAGATTAGGTATGAGAAAAGCGAGAAAGAAAAGATGAAGAAATCGAGCATAGCTATTCGAAAACCTGATCGGATCTCCAAACTGGAGAACTTTCGAAAGCTTGTTCCCTCTCGCTTCCTGGTTTTCCCCCTCCCCCCTCTCTGCATCTTTTTTTAATTTTTCGCGCCATGAATTTGAACATCTTTCCTCCCAAAACACCATATATATACCCTCTCGGCTGTGGGGCCCACTCAATGAACCCGTTTTTTCTATTTTATTTTCTAAAAGAATGTTCATTTCTATGTGTGAAGAATTTTAATTTAAAATTTGCATTAATTAATTCTTTAATTATTCATTTTCGTCTTATGAACCATTCCACGTCTAATCTTCACTCATAAATTTTATTAAACTAAAAAAACATAAATCAACCTTAAAATAAGATAATGATTGCAATTACAGCCATGTAAATGCCCGAGATTTGAATCGACTACTTCATAGATGATGATATGAACTAAGAGACATCAATCATATAATATACTTCAATGAAGATGTGAAGAAAAAGTTGTCAAAATTATCAAAGGATGTTTCAATTCACCATAAAGTATGAATGTTACATAAAGCCTTCAAGCTCGACATGATTGGATTTTGCTTGTGGAGTGATTCGATCAACAAGATAAGTGTTTTTGGGTTGAGATAGACATGGTATGATATTGTCCACTTTGAGTGTAAGTGCTCGTGACTTTGCTTTGGGTTTCCTTAAAAAGTTTCATGCTAATGAAAGGAGTATTCCTTGATTATAAACCCATGACTATTTCCTAAATTAACCGATGTGGGACTTCCATCATCCAACAAAAACAAAATAAAAAGTCTGAGATCTAAATATATGAGTAATTCATGGATGATATATGTTTTAATCGGTTAAAATAATAATAATAATAATACTAATAAATGTAAGAACAATTTTTAAGGAATAATTTTACTATTTAAAATTGAAGGTGGTTTTTTTTTTTTTTTTTTTTTTTTTTTCCTGAAATTTTCCCTTAATAAAAATGGAGAAAAAATCTAAAAATTTCACAAGAAAAAATGGGCTTGCCTTTTGGGCTCCTCTATAGGTAGTTCGCTCCCATTTGCCTCCACCATAGCAGTTGGTTCTGAACCATCTTGGAAGAACCAGGCGATGGCGCAGTGGTGCGGCGCATTAGCTAAGCGAGTGATGGCGGCGGAGCGACGGTCTCCTTCACTGACGTCGTCCATGGCGGTTGAAGGACTGGTGCCGATCCTTTGTGGACGAGGTGACAAGAAGACGAAGAAGGGGAAAATATTCAAAGGCTCGTACGGCAACGCTAGGCCGAAGAAGGAGAAGAAGATTCAGCGAATTAAGGATAAAATCGAGGTTCCTAGTTCTACTCCTTGGCCTCTTCCTTTCAAGCTCATCTGATTTTAATCTCCTTTTTTGTTGCCTCTAATCGCATCGGACTTTCATGATCCGTAATTTTGAAAAATCAAGGTTTTCTCGAGGTTTAGGGTTTATGTCAAGTCAAGATCAATTTAAGCAGAATTAGAATTGATCTTTAGTGATAAATCGTCTGCTGATGCGTACGATTTCATTTTTCCGATCTGAAATTGGAATACAGAGCTTTTCGAGCGAATTTTGGCTCAGGTTCGAATGATATATGGAAATTTTTGGAGAAATAAAGATTTATGTCAATCGGATCTGATTTATCATACTGAATCTCCAATTTAGGCTTCAACAATCTGCAATTTCGCGATAGATTTGAGAATCAAAATCTTTTCTCTGTATGTTTTAGAAGATTAACAGAAGAATAATATGATGGAATTAGCAAAAATGTATTTGAAGGTGGAAATGATTAGCAATACACCTCAGTCTCATATTAATGCTTGAATTTTCCAGATTTACTATATTTTACTAAGAAATTTTCCAAATGTCGATTTTCATTTTTGATCATAAAAACAACTCACAATTTAAGGCTTTTATTTTACTTTTTATAACAAATGTATAACTTGTTCTTGCAAATGTGTATTTCAATAGGTGTAATGAAAATCTATAAATTTAAATAGAATGTGTCTATAATTTTTTTTTTTTTTTTAATTTTTTCTAAACAAAAGAGGTGAAAGATATCCCATAAGCATTGAATTATTGATAATCCAATATGTCTCCGCTTTAGATTTGTTGGTAAATGAAAAAATCAAATAAGTTACACGTGATCAAACTATGCAACGGGATATTGATTCAAAAAAGGTTTGGAAGACGTTTTCAATTGCACATTAGAAATAGCCAAAATGTCGTGCGGATATGACTATTTTGCTCGAGCAAATCGACCCATAAGAAAGTCGGGTCATTTAAGCATGTTTGATAATAGTATTGCTCAATCCATTCTAGCCTTAATTAATTCCCGATCGACTTCTAAAAACAAACAAAACTATAACAAAAAAATAAAAATTTATAAGTGTAAGTAGTGTTTATAAGCTTAATTTTAAAAAATTAAATGATTATCGGACGAAATATTAGTTTGAAGGGTAAAAAAGAAATGAAAAAACGTGCAATTATAATGTTTCGAGTTTCACAAAATACACAACAACAAAAACTAAATCAATCAGCCTAATCTAAATTAACTTCCTAGATCAAGCAAGATTACAAGGGATTTATACAGCCCTATTACAAAATTAATGACGCTTTAGTTTCTTTCATAACTATATATTGATTACCAGTAACAAAAATACAAATGATATGGTAATTTCAGTGGAGTTATTATATGTGCAGCTCCTCAGTTCATGGAAGAGAACTCCTACTGTTCTTCCAGCTATATGATCTTCTATTTTTCAGTGGAGGTGTGATGAAGCTGAGACCAAAGTTCCCCTTGAGGGCCTGTCCTTGTTCAGCGAACTTCACAAGCTTCGCAACAATGGCGGCACTCTCTGTTACATGGTTCATGTTCTTCGAGTCGCTCCACAAGCAGTTGATGAGCTGCAGCCTTCGGCGTTTTGAATTCAACAAGATTCCCCATTGCTGGAATAGTCTCTTTCTCTCTTCTTCTGAGAATCGTTTCCGCATTAGCTTACTCAATGTTTCTCTCTCACGACGAAGATCTCTCACACTGTCTCCCGAGAAGAAAGAAAAGGAGCAAGCGTTATGGTAGGTGATATACGAAACTCGCATTGATGAAATGAAAAAGAAACGAGAAATGTTCGAATGAAGCAAACGCTGTTTGAAAGGATTTACAAATCTTATCTTTCAAGAACGATGGCTTTGACAATCATACATATTTCTACTTATTCAAACAATGGATGGAAGTTAATGATATTCTTAACATTATGCAGGTGACCTACGAAACTCATATCGATAAAATGAAGAAAAAAAAACAAGAAACGCTTAAATGAAGCAAACGCCCCAAGGAGTAACTTGAAAAGATTTGCAAATCTTTTCTTTCGAGAAAGGTTTCGAAAAACATACATGTTTAAACAATGGATGGAAGTTAATGATATTCTAACATTACACAAGTGACATACAAAACTCACATCGATAAAATGATAAGACACGAGAAATGTTCAAATGAAGCAAACGCTCCAAGAAAAAACAAAAGTTTGAAAAGATTTGCAAATCTTATCTTTTGAGAAAGAACAAACGGTTTTGAAAAACATATACTTCTTCTCATTCAAACAATGGATGGAAGTTAATGATATTCAAATGAAGCGATAAAATGATAAGAAACGAGAAATGTTCAAATGAAGCAAACGCTCCAAGGAAAAACAAAAGTTCGAAAAGATTTACAAATCTTATCTTTTGAGAAAGAACAAACGGTTTTGAAAAACATATACTTCTTCTCATTCAAACAATGGATGGAAGTTAATGCTTCTAACATTATACATATAAAACTCACGTCGATAAAATGAGAAAACGAAAAATGTTCAAATGAAGCGAACGCCCCAAGAAACAAAAGTTCGATAAGATTTACCAATCTTATCTTTCAAAAAAGAACAAGGGCTTTGAAAAACATACATATTTCCTACTTATTCTAACAATGGATGGAAGTTAATGATATTCTAACATTATGCAGGTGACATACGAAACTCGATAAAATGAAAAAGAAACGAGAACACATTGAAGCAAACGCTCCAACAAAAGTTTGAAAAGATTTGCAAATCTTATCTTTCAAGAAAGAACAAAGGCTTTGAAAAACATGCATACTTCTACGAGCACATTGTATGAAATTATAACTCAAAGATAAAACAGAGGACTAACCTTGAAGCAAAAGAAACTTTCCGGCCATCTTCCATAGCTTCATTGCCGTAATAAAATGATTGCTTCATAAAAGTCAGTCTCCTAATCTCCACTTCCATGTAAATGGAATCGGTAGGATCACCTTGGAAGAGCAAGAAAAAGTAAGTTCTGTGGACTATCGAGACGTTACAAGTTTGCCAAAGTTCAACTATCATCCTCCGCAGCCTCTGAAATTCTTGGTTCCAATCGGATGTGACTAGTGCAGCATCTTGCAATGTCTCTCCCCCTCCAGCACCATTTGAAGCCTTTAAGAGATCCAATTCGTGGCCATCCTTCAGAAACTAGTAAGAACATGCTTCTAATTGTTAGGAGAAATGATAATATTTAGACCTGAATACTAAATATCATAAGTTGATAATTTTCCATCAATATAATCAAGCAAATTGTGGGATTAAAGCAAGAGGTATAGACCAAAATGCATTGATCTAAAAAGTGGCAGGAGTTTGATATTTTCTTTCGTTCATTAAAGCGCACATGGTTGGAAATCACGGATGTCCATAATGGTATGATATTGTCCACTTTGTGCAGAAGCTCTCGTGGCTTTGCTTTGGGCTTCCCCAAAAGACCTCATACCAATGGAATAAACCTATGATCATTCTCTAAATTAGGTAACGTGGGACTCCCTCCCAACAATCCTCAACACGCACCCATATGATTACCCATCCGCAAGATATTCTGGAAACTTAGATTATCTTGGAACCATGCAATCTATTTCGAGAAAGTAAAGGAAAAAAATGCATTCTCACCTGTCCATCAGCAAGTTCTTTCCCATACTCTAAGTTGGTCATTTTCTTCAATCCGGCAACAAAGGCGTCTAAGCGAGTAACGTCTTCATCTGCCGAAGTTTTGATGCTCCGAGCACTTCCTATAGAAGACTGAGAATCAAGCCTCAGGAGGCCGTCATCAAAGACTAATTGTGGGAGTTTCCGTTCAAAACCTTCAGGTCTTCCAGGAAATCTTTGGTCAAATCCATGAGGAGGGGTGGTTTCTCCTCTACCAGGTGATAAATCAGTCGAGAGATTGGCTCTACAACTCCAGCTTCTGGCTAGCTTCAAGCTTCTGGAGCTTGACATATCAGCAGTCACCTTTGAACATGCATGGTCGCGGTAAGGACTGAACATAGAATTAATTTCTGTCCTTTTTACATTATGGAGTCTTTGCTCCGGTTGATCATTTGCTGAATTATTTTGAATCTGATGTGCTTCTCTATTCCCTTTCACAGGGGTTGATGTCATTTCATGACCATTTCCTCTAAATTCACCGTTATTAGCAGCAAGCGGTGACAAGCCATCGTCCCTGATTGACTCCCCCATTTCAATACATTGAACTTCCTTGCAGTCATCGGAATCTTCGACTATTGCAAGAGCGGTTGTTGTCATTGGACTGTGACCGGAGTAAGAGTCAAGAAACCTCTTTCCATCATCACTGTCTCCATCATAATAATGAGGATTGTTGAAGGATTTTACACCCATATCTCTATCACGAAAATCAGCCACACTTGAAGTTTCTGATGGTGAACCATCATCCTCTAAAGCATCCCTCGCTTGCAATTTGGAATAACTACTTTCGATATCCTGGAAGGAAGGCAAGCAAATGGTATGAAGAACACGAAGGCAACTGACTAGTGCAAGTACATCAAGTTAGCATTGGTCAGTAAATGTTTACCTTTCTCACGACATCATCGTGCCCAACCATACGAAGTAAATCTTCAATCCGGGATTGAGCGAGATCCCTTTGCTTTGTGAGCTCTCTAATCTCCTTGGCCATCTGCAAGATGAAACATAATGTAATCGATAAGCATTTGTCATGCTAACTTTTTCCTCCTCATGGCTACCAATTTGAGTGTGAGATAGCCAGTTTGGGTTGTGGTCTCCTTTGATCAAGCGTAGCACAAGACATCTAGCCATATATAACAGACAAAACTATTGTATAGTCTTCTCTCATGCAGTTCTCGACACCAAACTTAATTATAGAACAGATATTGATATATTCTTGAAATTAAATAGAACAAACAAATGATGGACAGGATTTTATAAACCGTTGTTCTTCAATCTCCAGAAGGGAAGTACTTGCAAAATGTCTACCTCTACTCATTATGACACAAATAAATTTCAGATCATGCCTCATTGCAAAATATATATATATATATATATATATATATATATAGAACTTCAAATTAATTCAAGCATATATCATGAGCGTGAATTCAGGTAGAATAACAACCTTCTCTATTTGTAGATCTTTCTTTTTAAGTAAGGCTGAATATTCAGAACTGGATGAAACAGGGGCAGGGGTCCTCAACTCACTCTCCAATCTGGCTACCTCTTTCTGCAAATGCTTAACCAAAGCCTTCTGAGACATGACCACGTTGACTTGTGCTTTTGTAGTCACCTCTTTTGCACAACAAGCAAACAAGAGAGTGTTT